ATAAATAAATACATTGCGGTCTTGGATTTTTTGCTTTCTCTCTCTGTCTCTGTCTCTCTCTCTCTGTCTCTCTCTGTCTCTGTCTCTCTCTCTCTGTCTCTCTCTGTCTCTGTCTCTGTCTCTCTCTCTCTCTGTATATATATTATGTGAAATTATTCAAATCACCAAAGGTTCACGGGCCTCGGTGACGAAGTGGGAACTCACTCGACTCAATATAACGCAGCTACTCCTAAATCCGGTGGTAATACTCATCAGAGTGTACATAACCCACCAGTTCCAGCCCCAAGAGCCCAGTCTTATGACGCTTGCGTCGTATCGTAACGGTCAGGGTTCTATTCTCGGTAGTGGATGAGCACTGCTGATGAGTCCACCAAAAAGACGAAATGGCTGCCCAGTGCTTTCTGCATTCTCTTGAGGATTCTTGTTCTAGACTCGATGGATCATTATTTGATATATATATATATATATATATATATATATATATATATATATATATATATATTTTTCAGTGCGACACTTGCCATGCATATAAAATACAACAAAATCTCAATAAAGTACCTTGTCGGTCATTCTTGATGAATCATGTATTAGAGAGAGATTGCTATATAACAATGATATATGACGTATATGAAATGATGGTGTAGCATTAACAAATTAATCATTATATCAAATCACTCGACCATTTCACAGATCTGTTGAAATCAAAACGCCAGAAAATCTTGTTTATTGTTTATGATTTTTTTTCCCTCGAGAAACCGTTTATCCTCTTAAGCTTTAAAGACTTTGAAGTAACGAGTAAGACACACACAGATCCCTTCCCACACGCACATACACACTCTCTCTCCCACACCATATATATATATATATATATATATATATATATATATATATATATATATATATAATCGACTCTCCCGTCGAGATTCGACGTATGAGGGTCAAGCAGATCGGTTTCAGGAAACCGACAGCCCGACACCGGCACATGAGATTTGATTATAGTGGTGAAAGCCTCGTGCAGGACCATCCACACTTTTTGAAGGGACGAATACAGAGACCTGGTGCACCGAATGCCACAAGGTTCCCAAACGACCCTCCGCAGGTTTTGAATTCAGAGTTGTCCTTCTCCTAGACCAGTTGCCATCAAAGGCTATAGAACCCAGTCTGTCCTGCTATTTTACCCATAGCTGGAGGGAGAGGAAGAGGATTCATACCTTTCCCAAGGGTATTAGCACGTAAGTGAATGTAATGGATTCGACTGGAACTATATATATATATATATATATATATATATATATATGTTTTGAACAATAAAAAATATTTAAAAAATTGAAATTTTCAGACACACTGGGTTGTAAATTAATATTTTTTTGTTTTATTATTTCAATTAGGCCATCAACAGGAGAAAAAAAAATCCCTACTAACAAAGTAGCAGTGAACTACAGGAGTGAATAACTGTTTCTGAAGAAAGTGAAATTTATCTGAAGTTTTCATATATTTTCTTTTTATCGTTAATTTCAATTGGCCCTGGTGTTGGTCAAACGGCCTCTTTGAAGTTATTTTTAAGAGAGAGAATGGCAGATTCCTGACGAAGAATTCGCTACTTGGTCATTTTGACAGTTTTAGTTATTTCTGGGAAAGGGTGTGTGTGTTAAGTGTATGTTATCCTTTAGTGTTTGATATGTATATATTAGTGTGAGTGCGTGTATAACTGTGAGACCTCAGCACCTCTGAAATCATGTCTGTCTAATGTGAGTGAGAAATGTGGGTAGTATCTTGATATATATATATATATATATATATATATATATATATATATATATATATATATATACACATATATATATATTATTGATTGATTCGTTTTCTACGGCATATCAACTCTTTCCGGTTATTTAAAGCAAGAACATTTTCTAAATTGTAAGAATTTGCTGGTGGAGATAATAATGGTTTAGTTATACAAGTCATACTTATTAACCCATACCTGGGGGGAGAAGTGGTGATATTTGCGCAAATAATAAAAGAATATAATGAACCCAACCGGAATTGGAACTCACCTTAACATTTCCGAGCCATTATCCATTACACCAGCCACACATCCAAGCTTACAGCATCTGGTATTCCCAAACGGGCACCCATCTAGGTACTGACTCGTCGCAACGTTTCTTAACTTCGTTGATCGCATATATATATATATATATATATATATATATATAGAGAGAGAGAGAGAGAGAGAGAGAGAGAGAAAGAGATAATATTAGTGGTAAATATACACATACATATGCAAAATATATAAATATATATACATAGGTGCATACACATATATGTATATTTTTTTAACAAAAAATCCGAAGAGGATAGAATCCAGCTAGAACTCAATGTCCAGGACAGAATAAGGAATATTAGTGTTTAAGCCTTTTTATTATATATATATATATAGATAGATAGATAGATAGATAGAGAGAGAGAGAGAGAGAGAGAGAAAATACATAAATACATACATATATATATATATATATATATATATATATATATATATATATATATATATATATATATATATATATATATATATGAAGATATGTGTGTGTGTGGTTACAACGCTCGCATTCTGATCGTGAGACCCGGGTTCGAATCTCTCCAAGGAAACTTCCTGATGTTATCTGACTGGAGTGGTCGATCCCAGCGTGCAGAATCTTTGGAAAGTGCCCGAAAACCATACCGCAGGTTGACCCAAGTCTTGTAAGAAAAATTGGGTAGACGAAATCCTTGGGGGCCGTCGATAGCTGTGCCCAAAGGCTTGAGCGTGCTGGCCTTGTTCAAATTGTTGGTCACGCTAGAAACTAAGGTTGATCTCAGAAACTAAGGACTGCTCAGCATAGTTGCGCTATAAACCACAGGTGGGCTTTGTGGGTGTTGAATAAACACAAATGCGCCTAAACAATAGGGATTGGCTAGCCACCCTAGTAGACGGGTATCCTCGAATACGAGTGGATATATATATGTGTGTGTGTGTGTGTGTGTGTGTGTAGGGGGTGCGCCGAACAAGACAAGAACTAGTAACGGTGACACGGTGCAAAATTCTCCCACCTTGAATATATTGTCAATTCTTTATTCACAAAAAGGTGTTGATCTTTTTCTAAGATCGAATACTGCTTTTCTGAAATCAGATAGAACGATATGTGGGATATAACTAGATAGGGTTTGTACTACTTTGACCCTCAGTCCTGGGTATGACGATTAACTACGTCCGGCAAAGCCTCTGATTGTATGTTCTGAGCAGCGTGGAACCACATCTTAATTGCTGTTGTACCCAAGTCCCTCCCTGACCCGAGATGGTAGCACATGTCAAGGTTGCAGCTATGGGTAACCCCCCTAAAAGTAAAGCAGTATAAAAGTATAAAAATACATTTTTATAGTAAAAATACCAGCAATACATATTTAGATAAAAAAATTACTAACAATACATATTCATAGTATTAGGTTGGTGCAAAAATAATGACGTAAGAATGTCGTTTTTGACGTTAAAAAATACGTCAAAAACGACATTATTACGTCATTATTTTTGCACCAATCTAATAAAATTATCAATATCTGTTTATAGTAAAATGACTAACAATACATATTTATAGTAAAATTACCAATAATACATTTTATAGCAGAATCGGCAACAATACAGTTTATCTGTATTTGGAGGCATACAATTGCTTTCAAAATATTTAGATTTTTTTCTTTTTTTCCAGTAATCTTTTCATAACTGCGACGAAAGAATTTCACGCAGCAGCCTCAATGTCCATCATGTGGGAGACAAAATGTTCATAATTAATCCAATTAATTATTTTTGTCCTCTCAAAAATTCCTACCTTCAGTTTCTCGTGACTCAGACCAGGAAATTCTGAACAGATATAACTGTAGCATGCGCCATCTTGATCTAATGCCTTGACAAATTGTTTCATCACGTTCAAATATTAGGGGAAAGATAATGCGATCACATTTACCCTGTGGTTCAGTTATGACATTTTTTGTCCCAACAAAAAGCTCTTCACGAATAGGCCTGTGGTGTATGTATTCTCAGTGCTGATCGATCGCTCCTCTGTTCCATAGACAAAGGAAACATGAGTACTTGCAAAAAAAAAAAAACAGTTTGCTGCCGTAACAATAAGTTAACTATTTTAAAATCCACAGATATAATCCATTTATGGTCATCAAAACTGTTTTTGTAGAACAATCTTTGCAATCGTATAAGTCTCTTTCAAGATCATTGAATAGCTAATTGTGATACAAACAAACTTGCCACCATTGTGCAAAAATACACACTTCAAACTTCGTTAAGGGCTGTCAATAAATAAACGCCACTAAGCTAAATTTTACTTAGGTAGTCGCATTGCAAAAAACGGCCTTGGTGTTATAAAACACAAGGTTGTCTTCTTCGCTAAATCAACGAACGCGTTACTCGTGTCTGTTACTATAAAATGTTATCTTAGCTTCAGAGTCAAGAACACGATGCTCACTGAATCGGGTGCCGAAAATCTCAGCTTTTTTTTTTTCTTGACAATGCTAGATCTCTAACCAAGTCATTCAGCTCTCCTTATGTGAAAAGCTTCCGTTTTACAGTCTGAAAATCTCCCAAATACTAATGATAAATACTACTGCTGCTGTCGGGAGCTTTATCCATTGCTTTTGCAATATTCATAGTGTCATCATCTTGATCAAGATCAGACAAAAAGATAATAACTAGAACAGGAACACTACTACAACGTGGAAATGGCTGTCTTGCAATTTCAATATCACGATTTCTTGTCACGGTTCCATCCTGACATGTTCACCATACAAAAGAAGCAATCGTCATGATGATGTTTAAGCTCTTGCCACATCATTGATACCCCAAATTTCATTGACTTGACTTTACCTTGGGTCCACAAGCGAAAGGTTCCATTACAATTCTTACAAACTTTGTGAGGAGCCCATTCACCCAATCTTCACACGAAATAAGCTTTTCTGGTGATATCTTGAACATTGAAACGATGATCTTTTGCCGTATATTCACCACATACGTAGCGGAAAACGTCAGGATCATTGTGACAACGTTTACGCTTAGGATTCATGATTAAAGGTTTGCAAGAATGGTAACAGCAGATTAGCTGAAGCTCTCTGACCACTCTACTGTCATTCGTACCTGCAACAAGAACAATAGTAAATTTTAACATTTTAAGAAATATAAACTGTTATATCCCAGGCTGATAGGATAAAAAAAATATATAGAATAAAAGAGCAATCTTATTTTAAATACAAACGATATGTATTTTCTGTCTCATCTTACTTGATGCAGGTGGATGAACAAGGAATAAAATCAATCCATGAGCGTGTGTTTAAACGGCAACAATCTTCTTTCTCTCCCTACCCAGGAATAATTTTCTGTACGCAGAGTGAAGAATTCTCTTTCTTGGGTAGAGTTATCTCCCCTAACATAAACAAAGCGACGCGTAGAGAGAGCAAATCTAGCATATTCTTTTTTAAAAATCGAAATCACCTCTAGCAAGGCAGTAATGCCGCAAAAAACACAAGGGGTTACAGGGCGAATTAGGAACAGAAACATTAATGATGTGCATAAAGAGAAAAGAGTAATCAGGTGGATGGCGATTGACATTGCATTTAAATTTTGTTCGGAGAAAAGCCATTGAAATCTATTGATGTCCAATAACTTAAAAAGCAGAGCCAATTCAACAGGGTTAAATACATTTTCGGATTCAGCGAACCTGATTTTACTTAACATTTTTGGGGGGCGGGGGGAGATTGTGTAATTGATTTGTTAATTGATAAACCCCAAATTAAAAGGTGTTATAAGATAGTAGTTACTAAAGTGTTAATGACGAAATTATGTATTCCATTTTGCATACTGACCAGACATCCGTTGCATCAAATACAAATATATTCTTTAAATTCTAGAACCCTGTATTCTCTTCTAATATTCTTTAAATTGCCATATTCCTTCAGGTCGTTGTAAATCATGGTTCTCTGGGGATTCCTTTATTATTTGTGAATTATCATCCATTCTTGGGAAAGACAGTAGAATGGGTTCCTTCTCCATAATTTTGAATCGACGGTTGTCCTTCACATAGGCTGATTGCCATCAAAAGCCAAAGTCTAATCTACCCTGCTATTTAACCCATATTGAGGGTAAAAGAGACGGAGACAAACCTCTTGCGGAGATATTAGTGCGAACATAAACGCAACAGTCTAAGCTAGAGTTTGAATATATTTCGCCGAAGCCAATTTCACTTTACTGAAGTGGAAACATTCGCCAAAGAAAGATCGAATAATGGACTATGTAAAAATTAAAAAAATATGTAAAGATGAAGGCTTACGGCCATACAGCATTGAAAAACCTGTTCACGTACGATCAGCAAAGTTAAGCAATATCGAGACTGGTCAGTACCAAGATGGGTGACTGCTTGAGAATACCAGGTATTAAGCTTGGATATGAATGTGGTGCAAATGGATGATGGCTCGGGATTGTTAATCGGAGAGCCGAGTTCCAATTTAAGTTGGATTCGTTATATTCACTTACTGAGAAGGTGTTATGGTCCGATTCCTTGTACCACGGTGATGGTGCAAGGTAAAACCAATAACAGAAGAACTCGAACACGGCTATGGAATAACACAGATATATTACAAACAGGAATATATCCAGAGAAGTAAAAAGTGTTAGTGCGAACAATCAGGTTTAGTAGTAATTGTCTGAACGCGACTCTGTTTCGGACTGACTCTGACTCGACTGACTGACTCCTGACGGACTTCACTCCAGACCTCAGACTGAACAGTATTTAGTCACCCCCCTCCACGAGGGCATCATGTGGCACAAGGCCGGTTTAACGTGGGATCTCCGAGCCCATGGGCTCGGCCAAAAATATGCTCTTTGAACCCGTATAAGCGGATTCAGGGTCGGTTAACCTCCCCGAACGAGACTCCGCCCTTCGGCGTTGCCTCGTTCGGGTTCCTCCCCGCCCGAAGGCAGAGAGTTCAACAGATCAGCCGATCAGCCGGTCGCCCGACTTCGGACTGAACTCCCTGCTTCCTCTTGAGGCGCAGTATTTATTAAGTATGGAATAGTCCATTATGTTATTATGGGTAAGGTCCCATAACAGAAGGTATGAATCTACCTCTTCTCCCCCAGCTATGGGTTAATTAGTAAAATTTGTATTATTATTTCCCAACACCAAAAAGAAAAAAAATCTTCCTTTTTAAAAATATTCTCTGGCTTTAAATAACCTTCACAGGGTTGATAAGCCGTAGAAAACGAATCAATCAGAAGATGACTCTTGCTCTTCCTCTCTGTCTAAATAAAATTAAAAAACAAACAATGATTAATGTTAAATCTTCATGAACATTAAACATATCAGTATAAATTAATAGAGAGGAAAACTGTGAAAAATAAGAATTGATTACGTTAGACAGACAGATGACGGGAATTTCCGTCATTTTAATTATATTGCTCAACTGCGAATGACGGAAATTTCTAATGTTTGAACAAAATCTTCTCTACATCAGCCATGGGCAAAATTTTGAGCAGTCAGCCACATGATCTATGGCTCATCACATTGCGGGCAACACTACTAAAAACATTCAAGGTAAGTTTTTGTAGTAGATACCTCAGCTATTTTCATCACAGAAAACCATATGTGTAGGCATATACCTTAGAAATGGAGGGAAAGTTTATAGTTTTGGCGAAAAAAGTTATAATTAAAGAAATTGAATACTTGGTATAATATCACTGATGACAGTGTCATTTACAAATGTTGTTGCATGTGATTTATTTCTAATTCATTCATTAGAAAATTTTATATATTTTATTATATTTTTATATATTTATATATTAGAAAACTGTTTCTTAATTATCTTATATATAATTTTTATATATTTCTATATTAGAAAATTTTATATATTTTATATTTTTATATTTATATATTAGAAAACATTATTTTAATTATTTTATATATAATTTTTTATATTTCTCGATTAGAAAATTTTATATATTTTATTATATTTTTATATATTTATATATAAGAAAACATTTTTAAATTATTTTATATATAATTTTTATATATTTTATATTAGAAAATTTTATATATTTTATTATATTTTTATAAATTTATATATTAGAAAACATTTTTTAATTATTTTATATATAATTTTTATATATTTATGTATTAGAAAATGTTATGTTTCATCTCAGAGGAAAAAAATTATAACTGTTTCTTGTTTCAAAAAGCAAAATATGTTTATATGCACGATCTTCCATAGTGAAAATCGTCAATAGTTTAAAATAACGGAAAAGTTATTTTTACCGAAAGTTTACAAAATTCAAGAAACATTGTACTTAAACATTGTTTATGTATGAGGCATTGCGAGTAAACAAGTAAGAATGAAACATATATATATATATATATATATATATATATATATATATATATATATATATATATATTATTTATTAAAAACAGTATTAATTTAGCGTGCCATTAAGAAAGATCAAATGAGTCGCATGTGGCTTACGTGTCGTTGTTTGCTCGTAATTACGCTATATTTGGGTTTTTACATTAGTTACATTTAATCAGACTAAAAAAAGACGGCCCATTTTATTAAGGCATTATTTTAGGTTTTCATATTAGTCTTCAAATATAATAAATACAAATATATTGTAATAACGCTAGAAAAAACTGAATAAAAATCTTTAAAAAATATTAATTGTCTGTCATATTCAATTAAACATATATAAAAGAAGGGTTGCTGACCAACAATACAATATTCAAAAAATTATAAATAAATCGACAGTCTAAAGTCTATAAATATAATGTAGATAAATATCGACATTATTCTTCTTCTAAGTACCGTGTCCTTGTAGTCTATCATGGCTCTCCACGATTTCCTGTCTTAATAAATTTTGTCTTTTTGATTACAGACAAAATATATATCGCGTATTATACTGTTTTTCTGCCCTTTGATTTTAATTTTTTGCTTATGGCCATTTCTCTCTTTAATTAGGATAAAAGATTTCCCACCACAAAATTCTTAGAATCTTCAAATCATCTCTGCAATCACCTAATGCCTAAAATATACTTTCTATTAAAATTCTTCGCATTCGCCACTGGTGATCCTTTTGTTTTTCAGTTGACCAGTCGTTCCTCGTCGGCACTGTGTTTGTTTGCATTTCTTCCTTGCCTTTCGAAGCTGATATCTGTTCAACATACACGAATTTTCTAAATGTTTTACGGCTATGTTTTTAAAATAAACGTCCTCGACATGAGATCTTTCACTCTAAGAGGAAATGGAAAAATGTGGGTTGCGAACAAGGTTGCGGCAATATAAGATTTCAAAAAGCCATTTCTACTTGACGCTCGAACGATAAGCAGACTGAAACGAAGTCATTAAATCAGTGATTCTTTATTTCGTAAATGTGTTTGGCCCTTGGCGACATACCAGGTAGTCATTAATTTACAGATTCAGATGGATTTGAGACAATCAGAAACGAGACAGAAACAAATGAGTGTAATGAGATAGTTGGGAAAAATTCAACATGGCAGCCATATGGAGAATTCTTGTGCCTTTCCGAATCGGGGTGCAACACTAAAAATAATTGCTAAGTTTATTTATTCGGAGGGAAATATTTCTGAAAGTTTAAAACCACACATTCAGATATACGCCCACATATTATGATGAGATAAGGTTAGGAGTTTGATGACCCCTGTAGATGTCATTATCTTAAATTCAGTTACTATTCCTGCAGGAAGATTAATCCATTAAGCATGACCATCCTCCGGTAAATAACTTTGTACATAACGATATATTCACAGACAAGTAACTGTAAAAATGTCCTTTACTTTCTTTCTTTCTTTCTTTCTTTCTTTCTTTCTTTCTTTCTATTCATTCATAGAATGTATTTGTTTCTTTGTTTCTTTCTTTTAATTCCTCCTTTCTCTTTCTTACCTTAGGTTCGTTAATGCATGTAATTCTTTCTTTTCTTTTTTTTTTTCTTTCTTTCATTCATTCTTTCTTTCTTTCTTTCTTTCTTTCTTTCTTTCTTTCTTTCTAGCCTGTCATTTCTTACTTCTAGGTTGTCCTTTCTTTCTAAGCTGACCTTTCTTTTTATTTCTTTTTTAGGCTCTCCTTTCTTTTTCTTTCTTTCTTTCTTTCTTTCTTTCTAGCCTGTCATTTCTTACTTCTAGGTTGTCCTTTCTTTCTAGGCTGACCTTTCTTTCTTTTTATTTCCTTTTTTAGGCTCTCCTTTCTTTTTCTTTCTTTCTTTTTTCTTCGTTACCATGTTTCTACTTTATATTTCCTTTTTCTTTTTATTTAACCTATCTTCATTTCCTTTGCCATCCTTCTCTTTCTTCTTTCTCGTGATTCAATCTTCTTTATTCTGCCTTTTACACTTTTATCATTTCTTATTTGTCTCTCCTTCTCTTTTTTATAATATTTCTTTTTCTTCTTTTCGTCTGTCCCTGAACAAAGAAAAGTTGTCAGTGTATTTCACAGGATGAAAGAAAGTGAAAAGCTGGGCAAGTATTGAAACGTTGTAGGAGGACTGCAAAATTTTGAGACATGACATTTTTTGTTTTCTACAATTTTTAAGCCACTAAAAATTATTTATAATTCTTTATTATTTTCTTTCCATCTTATAGATTGTCGAGTTAAAAGTCATAGGATATCAGTGGGCTATATATTAACATCCAGTTAATGAATGACTGAAATCATGTATAGTACAGAATTCTATGTATATTATATTTTACCCGGAAATATATCCATAGGATGAAGGTTAATTTATAAATTAAGCACATTAATAATAATAACTAACAATTAAATAAATTTAGTTTGGTTCGGTTTCGTTTGTTTTACGGCAAATCAACTCCATATGGGTCATTTAATGCTGAGAAGGTAGCGAAGGAGAACGAGAGGAAGGGACTAAGCATTAACTGAAAGAAGACAGAATACATGGTCGTCAGTAAAAGGAAGATCCCGAAATGCAATTTACAGTTCGGGGATATTTAAGCAGATGCATAAATTTAAATATCTGGGAAATGTTTTGACAGAGGACGGTAAGGGCAACGCTGAGAACCGAAGACGGATTGATATGGCCAAAGACGCATTCCAAAAGCTAGGTAGAGTATTGCGAAACAAGAGGTTTTAATTGGTAACAAAGAAAAGCTGCCACGTGACGTCTGTATTCCTTCACGTCAGCGAATGTTGGAAGAGACTCGAGGCGTCGGAGGTATGTTCTTACGGAATGATGCTAAAGATATCATGAAACGAGCGCGTGAGCAACGATGAGGTTTTGGACAGGATGCAAACAAGGATGAAGCTTATACTTAACATCAGGAAGAGGCAGCTGAACTTTCTGGGACACATAATGAGAAAAGAGAGCCTAGAGAATCTGATACTCACAGAGCGAATAGAGGGAAAGAGAGACAAGAGAAAGCAATGCATGACATACTTAACGGGCTTAAGCAAGTGGATGACAGAACAGGACCTGAGGGAAGTAGCAAAGGGACAAAACGTATTGAGAGCTACAAGGGATAGGAGGAAGTGGAGAGCCATGATCGCCTACGCCCTGAAGGGATATGGCACATAAAAAAAAAGAATTTAATTTTCTTGGGAGCATTAGTAATTTCTTTTGCAAAAAAATGTATTATTGGTAATTTTTTTTTTTGTTTTGTTTTGCTACAAAAATATATTGCTGGTAATTTTTATTACGACGAAAATGTATTGCTTGTATTTTTACTATAATAAATAGGTAAATATTTGCCCATAGCTGGAACCCTAACAGGTGCTACCACCCCGAGTCAGAGCGAACCTGGAAACAACAGCAAGAGGTTAATTACACCGACCATGCATAATTAATAAAATAAAATAAAATCTAATAAAAGTTTATATGATGGTCGAAAGATTTGTTCCTTTTGTAGATTTTAGCAACCTCCGCATATGATTTTTCTTGATTGATTATGTTGTGGATTCCGTGAATGGAATCCTGCACAAATAAATAAACAACGCCAGTAATTGAGATAGAAAAATAAGTGTATTAAACGTAAGAATACAGACTTGAAGTGAAGATTCGTAGTCCAGGGATGCGGGTTAGTAGAAAGTATATGTACAAGTCTCTGTAAGTAAAGCCATAATCATCTCTCTCTCTCTCTCTCTCTCTCTCTCTCTCTCTCTCTCTGGACTCTTGTATAACTCTCTGAGAACACCCTGTGTCTGCCTCCGTATTTCTCAACCTGTCTCAACGTATCTCAACAGCAGGTATTCCCTCTGTCAGTATAAGTATACTTTGGACGAGTCCATCTTATGTAAAAACGGGAGAGCCCCACAACAGATTAAATCAAAAGGTTTTATTTTTTTTTCACTTACGAATTAATTTGTGGAATCGATACCGGTGGGAGCTGATGAGCTTCAACACTTTACAGAAGAGCATACATGTTAGTAGGCACGAATTCAATTACTTTTGGCGCGTCATTGTACGTTGTCTTTCTTCATTAATTTCTAACATTCAATATCTTATCTTGTTATTAATTGTAATATTTCTCTTTTTTTTTTTACTTTCTTCTCTTCTCTCATTTCTTGCTAATCCCTTGAGGCTCTTCTCTCCTTTCATCTTACTCAATACTTAATACTTAACCTTACTCCACTCCTCTTTTCCACTTGTCACCGCTTCATTTTCTCTCTTCTTTTTCTTCTCGTTTCTTTTCTTGTTTTTCTCTTTTTTTCCCATTTGTCTTATTTGTTTCTATCTCTTCCCCTTCTCTTTTCTGCTTCCTCTTTCTTTTTGGCAATCTCGACACTCCTTACAAAGCCAGACAAACTCTGTAAATATATTTTACTCCAGTCAAACAAACAAACACCGTCTGCTGTTTTCGTACAAAAATGGACAACAAGCAACCTCGCACTAATATATGCAGAAAAAGTAATTTCTTTTGACAATTCCTTAAGCTGTGAGACTGCCTCACTGAAAATAAACAAATAACTGGGTGTCGACAGTATGGCCGATATGGGGTTCGACAAACAGAGGGTAAATGTATTCGGAAAAGACTTCCGCGTTAATTGGAGTCTTAGTTCTCAAAATCAGTCATTATCGGATTTTTTTTTATTCACTTTCATCCGAGCTTCTTTTTTTTGTAGAGGAAAGTGATTTTATTTTTATAATATATAAACAATGAATTTGTTTGTTAGATGGTCAAAAAGCGATTTCAAAAGAGTATTTCTCCTGACGAATTAAGCGCAATAAACACACACACGTAGGCAAACAAATAATGACATGCGCCCATTAACCACTACGTTTGTGATTTATATGAATATTAACATACATAAAAATAGCAGCTATATATATATATATATATATATATATATATATATACACGATAGCCTAAAAGATTTGGACCCCTCTCTGGATTTTGAAGAATTACCTAAAAATAGAAAATCCAGTGCCTTTTTCAAGACTTATTTATTAGCTGAGAGGAACTTTCTCACCCTGAATGGTTTATAATATTTTCAATATTAATGATAACTAGCAGCCATAGCTAGCTGGTCGATCAGAAAAAAGCGTTCAATTAGAATGGAGCAAAAACAGCATCATGTTTAGAGTCAATATTCTTCAATTACTTTAAAGTAGTTTCATTAAAAAAAGATTTTGAATTAATGTAGTTACTGATTTAACAGAAGTAGTCTGTATTTATTCAATCGAGTTAACCGAGGACATGAAGGCAACACGAAGACCCACTTCAGACCACAATTATTTTGGAGTTTTTGAAATTCAATTTGTCACTGTGCAACCAGGGATGTAAAAGAGAATATCGGATATGTTAATATTCATATAAATCACAAACGTAGTGGTTAATGGGCACATGTCATTATTTGTTTGCCTACGTGTGTGTGTTTATTGCGCTTAATTCGTCAGGAGAAATACTCTTTTGAAATCGCTTTTTGACCATCTAACAAACAAATCTTACGAAGCAATTGTTAAGTTTGATGAAAATTGGTTGAAAGATTAACGAAAAATAAGAAAGAAACTAGTAAAAATCACCATTTTTCACTATTTACACGGGCTTTCGCTATATGGATGGACTCCATTATCATGTTAAATGACTGTTAAACAATCAACTTATTGTTGGCTAAAATTGCAAAATGGTGATAATCAGTAAAAAAAAAAAAAAAAGAGGAATCGATCAATTTTTGAAGTGGAGAGACATTGCATAATAGCATTCCCATTCTCTGAACCACGATAACATTTACCCAAAAAGAAAAAAAAACTACTCAAAAACAACAGATGGAATCGAGGTTTTATATCAGAGTGTCATCTTCTAGATTGATGGCTTAGTAAAGACAAGGAGTCCATCTCTATCATTGACATCTACATATACTAAGTTTAATTGAATCTGTTTCAGGCTACGTAAGAGGAGGAAGATTGTACTCTAAGCTTCCAAGTGAGTCGTACCTTTGTGCTTGCCATGAAAATCAGTGTTCGAAATCCTGGTTTCTTCCTGGGTACGAACATCAAGTAGACACACAAATAGAGAAACTGTTATAAAGCAAATAGCTCTCGCAAGACATTGCTAATTAGTTCCTCTCTTTAGTAATGGGATCTTGCGCTAAGGCTCATCATATAGTTTATATTAAGATCAAGTGTCGCCAAGCAATGGTTAACGTATGAATATATGTTTCAACTCCCTGTTAAGTATAGGGCCCCAACTTCACCCATCCTAGGTGTGGCTGTTGTGGTTTCCGTAGCAAGTAGGTATTTACAGGGTAAAGTTTCTAGTCCCACACCCAACCGCTTCTGAATTCAGTTGTTTCTCTTCTGGGATAGGTACCAACCAAGGCTAGAAAGCTAAGTCAAATGGCTTACAGCCACATCACGTTGAAATACTTGTTCCCGTACGATCACTGAAGTTAAGCAAAGTCGAGCTTGGTCAGTACCTACATTGGGGATCATTTGGGAATACACGGTGCTGTAAGCTTGGATGTACTGGTGGTATAACGGATAATGGCTCGGAATTGTTAATCAGGGAACCGAGTTCCAATTCCCGTTGGGTTCGTTATATTCCCTTACGCCTAAACAGTTTTGGGAATGGTATAAATCCACATGTTCTCCCAACAGCTATAGCTTAAGTAGTAAAACTTGTATCTCTAAACCATTATTATCTCCCCACCAAAAAAAATCTTACAGTCTACAAATATTCTTTGATTCATAATAACCTGCAAATGATTGACAAATCGTTAAAAATGAATTCGTAAAAAAAAAAAGCTCAGTCTTCTCTTTAAATCATAGCTAAGGAGGAGAGGAGATGAATTTATAACTTTTCTGAAGAGGCAGTCCGGCCGTTTGTCGTGTTGATCGTATCGCCGTGAGTTACCAAGGATTTATTTTCCTTTTACTCAGCGTTGTTTGAAACTCGTTCGTCCTTGTTTGCAGTCCGGGTGTCTCGGATGCGTTTCTCTTGTGCATGTGGTGCCTCCGATGTGGAAGCCATGCTCGTGCTCTGCTAGTCATGATCCAGTGTTCAGCTCCTTTAGTGTTTGATTCCGGCTCTGCTGATCTTTTCCGTCCCTCTTCTTTGGCATATGCCCAATCAATAAGAAGAGGTTGATAAGCCATAAAAATGAAACAATAAAAAACAGCTTAGTCTTCTCTTTAACCCATAGCTAAGGAGGAGAAGAGATGAATTTATAAATTATATATATATATATATTGGAATAATGTTTTGATACCACAAAACAAATATAATGATTTAAATAAAATGAATTTCTTTTGTATGACCATTTTTTTTTTTTTTTTTTGCAGGACCTAGGTACCTTTCGGCCAACGCTTCATCAGGGTCTTTCGTTGGCAAATGATTTTAAACAAACAATGAAAATGAAAAGAACGCCAAAATGGTATGGTTGGAACACGTCTAAAATTTTACGAAGACATATATACGTAAAATTAAAATAAATTTACGATTAAAATAAATGCGTAAATAACAAATTAATAATAATGAACCAACCTGAGCAGTAAAATAGAAAAATAAGTTGCTCATATATCAAAAAATAAATTTAGCGATCGTGAAAAATTCTCCTTTTGTTTAGAAAGCGATGGTTTAAATAATTTGAGACAGATGGCTTCCAAAATAGACAGATGATATTTGGACCTGCCTACGCATATAATTGAAAACGAGTCCATTGTGAAACGTTTTGAGCATGACTCATAGAAAATGAGTCATGCTCATAGGTGTTGCCCGATCGCCGAATCGTGAGCTGATTGCGAAACACGAATGCGATTATCTAAATTTAATTTAATGTGTCTGGGTACATGTTGTCCGATTCTTGTTTCCAAACGAAGGCGTGTTCGCCCTATATATTCAGCTTCGCACTGACATTTAAATTTATATATAATCGAACTTTTATTATGATAGGGCAAACGATCCTTGGAAAAAGACGGAAAAACAGTACGAGTACCAAAGACAACACGTACCTTGGCCGAAAAGAAGGTAGCAGAAACAACATCCGAAACTTTATCAGTCAAAAGTTTACATTTTCTGCCTAGCCAAGGTAATTTCAGATAAATAGGGCAAAGACCTGGGCCAAATTTTGGGGGCATATTGAAATTCTCTATTTTCCGCTTTATTGTGCGGTCAACAATGTTGGCTGGAAAACCATTGTTGATGAGAATGTCTCGAATTTTGTTCAACTCTTGTTGAAGTGTGCTAGAGGAACAAATTAATAAAGCCCTATGAACTAAGGTCTTAACCAGATTTATTTTTCTGGTATGGGGGACAAATGAGTTCCAATTAGTGTAAAGACCTGAAAAGGTTTCTTTACGAAACACACTAGTGATGAAAATATTATTCTTTCGTTCCACATGAACATCTAAAAAGGATATAGAATTATTCATTTCTTCGTCCATAGTGAAGACCAAAGACGGGTTCAAGGAATTTAACGTTTCACAAAAGAGAGTGGCTTCCTCTATGTTATTAAATAGAGAAAAAGTATCATCAACATAACGTTGATAGATATAAGGTTTTTGATATTTCTCAAATAAAATGCTCTCATGATATCCAACAAAGATGTTGGCTAAAAAGGGACCCAAAGGACTACCCATAGAAACGCCGTCTACTTGGGAGTACATAATATTTTCAAAGCTAAACTCTATTCCTTCTGTTACTAATGTTAGGAACTCTAAGAATAAGGGCTCAGGAATATAGGGAGGACTCAGGAAACTTCTATAGAGCATATCAGCACATATCGTTTTCAATTATATGCGTAGGCAGGTCCAAATATCATCTGTCTATTTTGGAAGCCATCTGTCTCAAATTATTTAAACCATCGCTTTCTAAACAAAAGGAGAATTTTTCACGATCGCTAAATTTATTTTTTGATATATGAGCAACTTATTTTTCTATTTTACTGCTCAGGTTGGTTCATTATTATTAATTTATTATTTACGCATTTATTTTAATCGTAAATTTATTTTAATTTTACGTATATATGTCTTCGTAAAATTTTAGACGTGTTCCAACCATACCATTTTGGCGTTCTTTTCATTTTCATTGTTTGTTTAAAATCATTTGCCAACGAAAGACCCTGATGAAGCGTTGGCCGAAAGGTACCTAGGTCCTGCAAAAAAAAAAAAAAAATGGTCATACAAAAGAAATTCATTTTCTTTAAATCAATATATATATATATATATATATATATATATATATATATGATTTATAAATTCTTACTATAAAGGTAATTTACATTAACCAAAAAAAAAGCTTAGACAGAAGCGTCTATCTTTTTTAAATTTGGATTTTTAATGTAACTATAACAACAAAAACATTTCGATTTCATTTTTGCCTTGAAAAAGTCGGAAGACGAAACGCGTCGGCAAAATGTAAGATTTTTTTCCAATTGTCATTTGATACCAATCTGTCTTGTCCACAGAATTCATCTGGGAATTTAAATATGAATTTAGAACTTTCCCAGTGTTTTTTTTTTTTTTTTTTTTACTAAACTAGTTTCCAACAAAAGCTAAAAAAAAAACGATCTCGCTTCTTACTTTTATTTTATTTTATTTGCAATCATTTCACCCCAAGCAAGGCGGGAATGATATTAGTACGCATGGGGTTACATGGAGTGAAAGTGAAAGAAAAAAAACTGAGTATAGGGAGAATTGATGAAAGGACAAAAGATGAACGGAATTCAAGAAGATGGAAGACGGTGATGATGTTGCATTAAAATTTTTGAAGATTAGTTATGAAAACACTCCAACGAGTGCACAGGATCGCCTCGTCAGTGATGTTATGACTTGGGGTCATGACAAGTTTCGGGCCTTGCAATATCATACTTGTTCACCCAAGAGACCCTACTGAAACAATACTATTCCGGCAGGCGATCCTGAAGCAAAAAATCCGACAAACACGCAATAAATGGACACATTAAGTAACTGCCACTGCTGATCTTGAAATTACAAGCGACCAATCATTAACGACTTACGTCACTTCATCCTCAACTAAGACGATGCAAAAAAAAATAGACAGCATGCTCGTTTTTTTTTTTTTTTTCATCTTAGGTCCACCACGCAGAAAGACCCACATTCTCAACCCACTCATAGTTATCAGAAAGAAAAGTGCAAAAAAATAAACTCTTAGAGTAGAAGAGGCGGTTATATTTGACTATTTCAATAGTAAACCGAAGTAAATGCCAATCAAGTAACACGCTTAAATTCATGTAGACAGGACACCAAGGAAAAAAACCTCTTTATAACAGTTACCATGAAGTTTACTCTTCGCTATAGGTTGGATGAAAAAGATGACTTCATAACGTTCTAGTTTGTTAGTGCGAAAGCGAACGTGTCGGCTTCGGATGGAATTTCAATTCGACGCGCCAATTTCACATTCCGCCACGATACCCGCCCATCTCGATAGTTAACGTACGGGAAATGATTGACAATTAATCCTCTCTTCATTGTATTTAATGTGAATATGGGAATGAATGACATTTAACACATCATCCAATTAGTATTTTGATATTGCCAGATATGAAAAAAATATCGATCATACATTACGATCAGAGATTAATATCGTAATTCTTGCCTTAAAATGTTGTATTAAATTGTGATTTCGACAAAAGTAGCGAACACCAACCAATTTCTAAAAGTTTGCCCACTTCTTAATTGTTATTGTTCACAAGTTCACCAAGACCCAAAGTGGTAGCACCTGTTACGGTCCCAGCTACTGGTAAATACTGAACGTCCAAACAAAAAGAACTTATAGTAAAATGACCAACAAAAAAATTTTATAGTAAAATGATCAACAATACAATTTTATAGTAAAATGATCACCAATACATATTTAGAGTAATATGACGAACAATACATTTTTATAGAAAAATGTCCAACAATATATTTTCTCGTAAAATGAACAAAATGAATTTTTATAGTAAAATGACCAGCAATATCTTTTATAGTAAATTGACCACAATACGTTTTTATATTAAAATAAGTAGCTATATATTTTATAGCAAATTGACAAATAATACATTTTTATAGTAAAATGACCAACAATGTATTTTTATAGTAAAATGACCAGCAAGATAGTTTTTAACGAAAAAATAACCAATACATTATATAGTAAAAAGAATATAAATACATTTTTGAAGTAAAATGACTAACAATAAAATCCAATTATAGTAAAATGACCACCAATACATATTAGCTTTAATTATTAGTTTTAAGTTATTTAAATAAATGTATCCGGAAAAAGCTAACATAAAGCAAAACAAAAATGCATTGTCAACCTTATCTCAATATTCAAATGACCAGCAATACATATTTAGAGTAATATGACCAACAATACATTTTTATAGCAAAATGACCAACCATTTTTCTAGTAAAATGACCGGCAATAATTTTTTTTAAACTGCCATCAATACATTTTTGTAGTAAAATTACCAGAAATACATTTCATGATATACTAACTAAATTTAACTAACAT